TGAGGGCGTCAAGGTTTGAAATATCAGAAACCGTAAGCATCAGCTGTGCTAGGGACTAGGTGCCAACCAACCCTTGTAGAAGGCATTATTAGCATAGATCTCCTACGGAAGGTTCTCAGTCTCTACTCGTACGATGCCGAAGGCTTTAAGAGCGTCTAGACAATTACAATTCAAAGATCAATATACAAAAGCATATCACTCAGGGCCTTTCATATCACATAAGACACAAAGTGTTAGGGTCAAAAAAGGTGTTGTGTTGTTCAGCCTCTCTTATACGAGGTGTCGTACGAGAGGGTCAGCTGAAAAAAAAACCCCAGTGGGGAAAAAAAAGCTAAGCTATGGCGACTTATGCCCTACATGTTATAAGGTAGGTAGTATATGCTACCAAGACAGGGCAGAGCAGGGCTCGCAGTCGTACGGGGAGTTGTCGAAGGGGGAGGAAGGAAAAAAAAAAACCCACCACCTTCCTCTCTCCCTCTCCAAGTAAAAAGAGAAGGGAGGAGGAGAGGGGGAAGGAAAAAAAAAAAAGAGAGGCATATTGTAAGGCAAGCTCTAGGCTTAAGCCAGTACAATAGCATTCTCTGGCGATGAACCGTCAAGCAGAGCTTGGGCACGCTGGCTGGAGAGGGGCCGGGCTCGTACGCCTTGTTGGCGACGGCGTCTGACACCTCCGCGGCCACCTCCACGGCCACCGCCGCGACCACCACGAGGGCGGGCAGGACCACCCGTACGGTGAGTACAGGCTGCGCTGCCATCACGCCACTTGCAATTACCACAGCAGCCTCCCTAATGGCCGGGCAATCGTACGCAAGCAGGGAACGGATTGGCTAGGCCATCGTTGTCCCTCTCGATAGCAGCACGGCAGAGAGAACAGGGCTCATCAGCTCGCTCCCCACGAGACTGGATGAGGAGTGCGTTGATGTAGCTAGGCCTTCCAGAGAACAGCTGGTCTGCGTTGAGGCGGTTTCGTACGAAGACGACCGGCCTGCCAGGCTGAGCGAGTACTGTGCGCTGCTCTGCTGTATGGCAGAAGGCAGCCAGTTCCTCACCACCAATCGCAAGGGCACCGACGCGTGGGTGTTGGACGCTGTAGGCCATGCGGATTGTGGTCTGGTTGATGGGGGGCTGTACGAGAGAAGAGGGTTAGCACAAAAAGTGAAGAGGGGACATCTGCGTACGACAGATGTTGAAGCTTCTTACCTCTAGCACAAACTGCACCATACCCTCTACGCCATTCTCGTCTCGTACGGCAGCGGCCACTTGGTTGTTGGGGCTCGCCATCGTTCTGTAGGGCTGGGCGCGTAGGTTGTGTTTTCTTTTTTCTGAAGTGGAGATTTGGCACTGTTTGAGGTCAGTTGTCAGTATCAGTAGCTGCGTCGTACGATCAGAAGAGATGGGAGGGAGGGGAGAACCTACGCCACGGCTCCTACAGATTTCGCGCCAGTCACTACCTCACTACATACACCACAGTCTGTTTTGTAGGGTAGGTAGGGAGGCTTAGTGGTGGTAGTAATGATAGTAGTGATGGTGATGACTTGAGTGAGATAGAGAGAAGGCGGCTGAGATGAGATATGGAGATCTCAGGATTATCGCTGTTGTTGTTGTTGTACGAGGGAAGAAGGTTGAGAATCTGGGGAGGAGAGGGCTTTATATATTCGTACGAGCACAGACCAGGCGCCTAGGCAGCGGCCGTGGATTTTGAAGCTATCGCCAGAATTCAGGTGGCTGGCAGAACGGCTGCCTAAGGTTGGTGCTAGCGGTAGAGCAGCCTGGCTAGGCTAGGCAGTCAAGCTGAGTGGTCGAGTAAGGTAAGGCGACAAGGCTGCTATATGAGGCTGCTATATAAGGCTGCCGTACGAGGCTGTAAGTGGTTCCATAAGGCTGGCCAAAGTTGCTGTAGAAGCAAAAAGCAGGTATGTGTATTCATTATATAAGACAAAAAGGCTGGTCTGACGGAGAATCGAACTCAGGACCTCTCCAGGACCTCGTACGAGTCTGGCAAGGGCTTATGACAAAGTACTGCCGCCGCTGTCAGGACAGGGTGGGTGGGGTGCCTTCCTTATTTGGACTTGAGGTCTACAACACCACAACACCAGATGAAAATGGAAGGCACGCAGCAGCCTCGTACGGACCGGGCACCTTCCTCAAGCCAGCTTCCCACCTTTGCAAGCTATTTCTCCCACCCTTGAAAATTTTTTCCCTCCCTTCTCTTCTCTTCTCGTACAACAACAACCACCACCACCACTACCACCACCACCATCACC